TGAATTAACTATTATTCACTATACCATTGAAAAACATTGTAGAGAGAGAATATCAACACTTTAGAGAGAGAAAGTAGCTTAACCTTCAAGTTTCCATTTTTGTAATCAAGATCTTTTCAAGCTTCCTTCAAGTTTTCATCTTTTCAATGCAACTAGTCCATGTTTGCTTAATCCTTCAAGTTTAATAGTAGTAATCTCTTTATCCCTTATCTTTTGTTTGGTTTTATTGCTCTTAATAGTGTTTATTTCCATAAAGTTCCTCGCTTTTACTCATTTCATTGCTTTTTCTTTGGTTTTGAATCATGTTTGGTTTTGTTGGGATTGAATACATGTTTAGTTTAGTTGATATGGCTATCTTCATTTCTCTAGCTTAGATTTCTAGCTAGGGAAGGGGGTGAAAATCATGATTGATTGAGTTTATATTGGTGATTAATTGGGTTTTGCCTTGAGTTGATGATTTTGTGCTATTTATGCTTGGAGCTATTGTTGTGCACCTCTAGCCCCAATATTTGAGTTCTAGATTAGATGCATGAGAATGATCTAGTTTAGGTTAGATCGATTTCATTGATTTGGTTTGAGTGATTGCATGAGAATGAATCATTTTGAGTGGAGTTTGTACTCCTTGGCATGAATCCATGATGATTATCATAGTTGTCTTAATAGATCATGATTGGAACCTCCTTTTCTCTAGTGTTTTTGATCATATTTCCACTAAAATCTTATCTTTCATCTTTATTTTGGTGATTCTAGTTTAATTCCTTATTTTTCTTGGTAGATAGTTTAATCTTGGATATTCACAAAAACAAATCAAATTACCCCTTGTTACTTGCAATAGGTTCTTTATTTCACTTTGATTCTGCAATACCCCGTTTCCTTGTGGTTCGACCCTAGCTTGCCACTATCTAGTGTTAACTTGATAGAGTTAGGTTAGGAATATAAATTGTTGATTTGATCTAGGATAGTAGACCAGACCTATTGTCCGTCGATCAAATTTTCAAGCTCAACTTTTTTAGCCCTACTGTGATTCATGCTTTTTAGGCATGGCGGCGCTCCAAGGGAAGGAACCTAGAGATAGAAGAGTCCCCAACAAGTTTTAGGAACTTGTAAACCGTTCACAGGTGTGAAGGTTACACCCCATTCACAATGACGGATATCACTAACTCCATAGTGGTCCGGTACCATGACCGGATGTCCGGAGATGTTGGTATGAATCCAACCTAAAAGAGATCGAACCCGCCCTAATTATGAAATTCATGTGCGCTTTTCAATCATCATATATACATCAAATTAATCATAAACCTATTTAATCTACGTTGGTTGATTATTAATACACAATCAAATCTAATATTGGTGATCACTTGAATTAAAATCATATTAAGCTTAAATCAAATTATTAATTATCTTATTAGGCGTGATTTCAAGTACAAATTCCCTTTAAACCTTCAAGAAGGGGCGTGATCAAGAAATAGCAATAAATCATGAATAATCAAGCAGCGTATGATCAATTGATACAACAATCATCATCAAAACATCTTTAGTAGTAAGATCCTAGGCATGATACTAAACGGATTAATAACAAATCCTAGCATGTCACTAATAAAAATCATAATCAAAGCATTATCCTAAACATGCTACTAGAAATCACAAAGACATCCTAACGTGATACAAAGAATTAATATAACATTGTAAACATGATTTCTACTTCAAAATCAAAGAAGAGATAATTGAATTACTTACTTTGATGCTTCAACCTTCTTGCTATTAAAAAAATACATGAGTTAGTAACTTCAAGAAAGATTAAATCAATCAAGTAAATAAATCAAATATGAATTGAAATATATATTTGGGACCAAACCCTCAGAACTATTAACCTTTCATGTCAGGTCGAAGGCAACGTCGAGGATTGCTAGGAGTATTCGAATCTCGTGAAGGAAATATGGTATTTGATTGGGGAGAGTATCAAGGATGTGTTTAGGATGTGTTAAGGCTAGGCTAAGAACATGAGAAATCAAGAGAGAGAGAGAATATTAGAAAGGGTATTGATGATGATTGTTGGTGGTTGAAAACGAGGTGATGCGACCTCTATATATAGGGAAAAAAGAGAGTTGAAGCATCAGAAAAGAGTTAGAATTTGGAACAAAATAAAACAGGTTTCATCACATGGCGATAGGAGCATCACGGTGCGATGGTTCTTTCGTTCTGCAATAAATTTCGTACGGAGTCCGACTTCCAATAGAATTGGGTTAATCAAATATCTGTATGTATTCTATTTTGACAAGGACAAGGATTATCAAAAAACAGATGTTTTATTCGATATCAAAGTCTTTAATCCTTATATTTCGGGAACAGGATAAATTAGAACCTTCTAGAGGATTTTAGAAGCTCTCGTAATAAATCCTATTCATTTTAGAATTGAAAATAAGGTAATGGACTCTCCTCATGATCATTGGGTCGTAGGTAAGGTAAACCTAGGTCTGGTTTGGGTTTGGTTTATTATTTTGGCCATAACTTACTCATTTTAATTCGGATTTGGGTTAATAATACATCGTCGAAAAGCTCTTTTCAAGCCCCATCCAACTAAACAATAATTGGACCAGGAATATGGACCAAATTAATCTGATTTTGACATTTTTAAGATTGGACATGAAATGAATGATTTTTAAGGACACAAAATGTATGATTTTGGGTTTAAAGGCATGAAACAAATGATTTTGGATTAAAACATTTTAGGCAAAGTTAGAAATATGGTTAAGGCTTAAGGGAACTTTACGAGATAATATAACTCTTTACCAAACTCATTAATCAAAACATGAAAGGTAATCATCACTAGGTTTTGTTTTTGGGGAGACGCAATCAGGTGTCTTTAGAAGCCCCCACTTTGACTAAGTTTGGATAAATGTAAGTTTCGAAAACAAAAGTCAAAGTAGATCGAAAGGGACGAATAATGATTCAGAACGTTCTGCAATCCTAAATCATCCTTTTTAACGCCGATATCTGCAGAAAACGTCAATTCTACAAATAAAGGACTTAAGGGAGAGAAACGCATATCTGAGTTTTTCGAGCACACGTTTCTAGGTGACATCTTGTCTAATCAAAGTTGTGTTGTTTTACAACCGCCAAATTCTCAGGGACCGCTGTTAAAGACCGCTACGTCTTGAACCATCTTCTCAAATCAAGGGGGACAACCTCCGCATTCTCAGGGAGCGTTGTCGAAGACCACTTTGCTTCCAGCCGTCTTCAAAAATTGGGTGACAACCTCCTCATTCTTAGGGAGCGTTGTCGAAGACCACTAAGCTCTGAGCTGTCTTCAAAATCTTCTCGCCTTCATGCTTTGGAAGTGACAGTTTCTCACGCTTTGGAAGCTTCAAATCGATTTCCTTAGAAATTCTCCATCTTAGGAATTCGGACCATAATCAATCACTTCTCGATCAATATGCTCAATCTATACTCAAATGCGCTCAATCAATCAATAATGTGATCGCCATTAGGCCAATCATCAATCAATTGTGACCGTAATTGGGCTGACTATCAATCAAATCAATTTGTTTGTTTATCAATCGCTCATCACAAGGCTCAAAAGGACCACTTGCTCATCAAGAGGCTCAAAGGGATAATTAGGGACCAACATTTTGACTTGTAGGACCCTCAAAATGTTGACGCGACCAAAGTTAGGTCCATCGCATGACGACAGAAGTATCGTGCCGCAATGAAACCGCGTTTTTTCCGGTTTTAAACCCTTTCTTCTATCTCATTTTGCTGCTACTTTTTTTAGTTCGCTTGCAATTCCAAAACTTCAAATTTCTCGTTCTCCTTCGTTTCTTAAGCGAATCAACTCAAGTTTGTCTCAAATCGTTGCATTTTAACTCACCTACATCAATCTATGTAAGTTTTCCTCAATCTTTTCTTAATTTAGACGAATTTCAAGCATGTTCTTCGTTGGTTTTTCGAAAATCCGAAAAGTGTATCCTTTGTTTGCTCAATTTTTGTTGAAATTCTTGTCATGAATTTACTTGTATATGCTTGTATGTTAGTTTGTGAGCAATGCGAGACTATAATTGCTTGATTTGGTGAAGAAACGAACAATTTGCCATTGTTGAACACTCTAAGTTCGCGAGTACAATGTAGCTTGTTCTCCATGATTTTTCTTGCTATTTGTGTTTAATTTGTTGTAATATCTTATCATAGACTTGCAAGAAATTGTTTTGGTACTCAAAATTGTGCGAATCAAAATCTTGCTCTGTTTTGCATTTTTGTACTCTGTTTTTTACGAACATAGTATCATGCGTCTAGGCCAACTTAGATACTTCAGAATAATTAATTTACTGTTTTTATCAAAAATAGCATGCCTCAATGCCGCAGTTTTTGTTCACGTTCCCGCTCTTCTTACCGAGAGGACGAGCCTATTCGTGAGGGGGAAGGTGATAGGGGACGCGCCTCTACTACCCGGACGTGCTCCCTTCCATCCTGAGACAAGCACACTCTGGCTTTTCAGCTTGTTCACCACATTTCCCAGTGAGTTTTGCTGGGTTCGACTGAGGAGAACATGCGCTACCGCGGCTCGAGCAGCAATACCATCACTAGGCGAAAATTGCTAATCAGCACCGGTTTAAAACCCCCATTTCGCACTTGTTTTGAACCGGTTCTGATTTGAGAGATGCCAAATCCCAAGACTTTTCGCACCGGTTCTTGACGTGAACCGGTGCGAAAAGTCCCCAAAAATATTAAAAAAAAAAATTTAGCACCGGTTCTTGCTTTGAACCGGTGTGAAAAGTGTCCAAAAAAAATAAAAAAAAAACTTTTAGCACCGGCTCTTGCTTTGAACCGGTGCGAAAAGTCAGCAAGAACCGGTGCGAAAAGTGGCCAAAAAAAAACTTTTAGCACCGGTTCTGTTCCAAAACCAGTGCCAAAAATGCACAAAATAATTTATTTTTTTTTTTGGCATTTTTTTTCACTTAAATTGATATATAGACACTAACATATATATAAAGTTACAAATTTTCATTAAAAAAAGGCTGTAATATTACAATTTTCGTCCAAAAAAAATTAAATAATCCAGACTTATCTCTGTGTACCTTTCTTGCATTTCATTTAACTAGCATATTTCAGTCAAAGGATCAATTGAAAACCATAAGCCATCTTCATCAAAATAGCACACATCTCCTGTTTTTAGCCAACCATCTAAAGTGAGTTGAAACAGTCGCCTCATGATTGTTAAAGTAGCCTACAACAATAATGTAAGACTTTAGGCAACATAGCATCTGAAAATAAATTGTGCTTGGCAGGGACAACGATCGGACTCATTAATAACAGTCTTCACTTTACTAGGCTGAACCAACTGATTCCAAACAAATATACACTCACACTTAAGTGCGATAAGGAAGAAGCAAAGGACAGAAAAGTAACAGATGTATGAGCAGAGACTACATGTGCCGGCAAGGCTAAAATTTCTCCATTCTAATTTTTTTTTCTTTGTACTGATCATAGATTTATAGCTTTCCAGGCCAAAATAAACATGCTAAGCATAGAGCGTTTAACTTTCAACGGGTCCAAGAAGGGGAGTGAGAACTATCGGGTCCTTAAGGAGACTAAGCAGAATATACACACCACCATACATCCATACCATAGAATCAACAATATCATTCTGACTATACAATAAAAGGCTTCAGCAAGTAGCCACGGTCTCCCTATCTTCTTCAAATATAGATTATAAAATCAAACACATCTCAAAAAGTAGCCTTCCCAAAAAAAATGACCAACCTAATTCTTTTACCAACCCATGAACTCCAAGTAAATATCAACTCAGCATATATAATCTCCAATTTTTCCTACCAATAACTATTCTCCTACATTCAGAGAGAGAGAGACTCATAGATACGTGCAAAGATGGGGTCTTTAGTTGTGCTCTTAATTCTCGAATTGCAGCCTGAAATTAGATAATAGCATGAATTATAATCACCAGCTGATAAGCATGAAGATAAATACTCCAGATTACTGTTAACCAATAAAACAATACACACACATACACAAACAAAAAATAAAAAGAAAACCATTAATCATCCAATCCCCATAAATGATGTCAAGAAAGAGGGACCAACATAGACAGCCACACATCATTTCCAGGAGAGAATTTATAGAATTATAAGTTGCTTTTCTCTCGATCAGATATAACTATGCATCCATCAACAACAAATATTTGACAAGAAATGTAAAATGGATTATCTTTATAAACCTCATAAACCTATTTCTCATCCTCTGACATAATCCATTGAAGGTCCACTTTTGCATACCAAATCATCCCCGCCAAAGTGATTTTTCTTTCTTTTTTTTTTTAATACCATCATACTACCTTGGCAACATTGCTCTAATGGAGCACATTCATATCCACCTAACACCCTTACCTGATGAAAGTTCAAAGCAGGCAATCCTATAGTCCTACTGAACATTGATTAGTCTACACTGCTACGTACAGGCTTACAGCAAAAAAGAATGTGAAAGATAATTTACTAAGAAAATTGGCCAAATTCCTTAGAATCCAGAGTTGAAAGGATTGCTTATTAGAGGCTCATTCAACTTTCAAGTTTCACATTTGTTGAACATGTAGGACAATCTCAAGTAGGATTTAAATATTAGATTTTCAAAGAGATTACTATCATAAACAATCAAGGTAGGTCGATATATTTATTGTGCATATTAGATTTTTAGAGACAATACTATCACAAACAGTCAAGCTAGGGTCTATATATTGATTGTGTTCCAATTTTACAATCGCTGCATGCCCATATCACCATTGTAAAGGAATTTGAGAAACCTCACAGCATGGTAAGTGTTTATGAGATAACCAACTGACATATCCAGCTGCAATAGCAATCAATCATCCGCATTAACTGCAAAGTGGTTCCGCTTGTGCCCCCATCCAAGATTATAGAGCATGGAGAGGGGTAATGATCAACTTCTTAGCTCCATAGAAGTGAAAGCAAGTAAAAATCTTTATAGACATTTACAATCATCAATATGAAAGCAAATAAAGAGGGTGATTGCCTTTCTAACCTAACGGAGTAACTACGCTCAGGATTCTCGAGGTGAAACAAATGGGAATATAAACTGACCTTTAATTCTGCCACTTCTTGCTCTCGTTTGGCAAATGTCACAATAAAGGCAGCTTCTTTCTTCTTTGCTTTTTCTAGTTGGTAAGAAGAAATAACAAATTATTCACCATCCAAAACTAATAATATACAGTAATAAAGATAGGAAAGGAAAAAGCACAAACCTGCTCTTTCAGTGACTTGTCTGATGACCTTAAGTTTCAGATATAGTTAACCACCAATTTAGGTTCTGCAGAACAATAACGAAGATTTTCATATCAACCAGAAATAAAAGCTCCAAGACAGTTAAATGGAAAGAAATACAAAACATTAGAAATACAAAGTATAAGATAAAAATTATAAGACTGACCTGGAGTAGTAGCTAGGGATATAAAAGACTCATCCTGAAATGAAGAATGCCATTTCCAAATTTCAGACTTTGCAGATTCCAGCTCAATCTAAGACAAAGCAGCCAAAACTAATTACTCCTTAACCAACTGTCGATAGTCAACTAGCAAAACTTAAGCAGACAATAATCGAATTTAGTTACTGATTCAAAGTTCTTTTTTAGGTCATCCTTTGCAGATGTAAAAACAATGACAGAGTGATGACGGGAAGCAATAACACACTACTAGACAAGCATTCCACTAAACAGGTCAATAGGTCAAATATTCTATTTCTAGAGATCACTTATGGGAAAAAAAACTCAGGATTTTGCTAATGCACTTTGACAAAATCCAATTCTGTTCAAAGCCACAAATTAAAGTATATAATTCTCATCTTCAATATATTGTACTAAGTAAATCACTAGCATTATCATTATACATAATTAATTTAACAAGATCTTTACATATTAGTGAAAATTTATCTCAATGATCACTTAAGTGAACTACAGAATCCAAAGATCCCTCAAAATCTCATGCCCACAGATGCAATTACTGGTACTGGTCTTAGATCATGTTCTGCCAGTACTGGTACAGTTTTGAGTATTTTCAATCTCAAAATCGAATTTTTAGTAACATCAGCATTTTATTTATGGATTTGCATACTCTTTAATATAGATCTCCGCAAACCAGCAATAAGTTCAAAGAATATAACACACGTGGAAATGTGTTAACCTTACCTTATAAAGTATTTGTTCGATTGTTTCATCTGCCAACTTCAGTTCAGATTCACATAGAATTACGATCAACATATGCCTCACCTGCAAAAATATAAATATCAGCTCATATGAATATTATAACAAACTTGCTAACATGCAAGGTATACAAGTGTACTATTACAAAGCATGTAGAATTATGATCAAGTGCATACTAGAACATCTAAGACAATAAAGGCACTACTATGCAACCTAAAGGATCACCCAGCGAAGCATCACACTAAATAGCACTTGCGGATTGAAAAAACGTTGGTATTGAAGCACCTGTTTTATCACTAGTTTAATTTCATTACAAAATCACTATAGTTTAGAGCACAATGATCATACAAGGGTATATGACCAGCCAAGAGAAGGAAAATCACATTGAGCAATGTTATAAGATTAAAAGAGCAAATCAAACAAACATGCCAACATAACTCTCCCCACCTCAACTGCAAACTTTGAGGCAAAAATCACCTCACACAGGAACAAGACAATAAGCATCAAATGAATATCTGTCTGCCTACAGCCAAACAACACCAACAACAAGCTGACAACCATATTGCACAAATTTATGATCCCTTAAAGCAGGGTCCACAGTATTGTTAAGTAAAACAAGACATTGTGCAGACATCAAAGATTGTAAATGAAAGCTGAGGATTGAGGATTAGGGGATAGCAAACCCAATATACCTCATCGCGCTCAATATATCCTGTGCCATCCAGGTCATAAAGCTTAAATGGGACTGCAATAGAAAAAGGATGAGTGTGAATAGATATATATGACCCAGGTTTTAGATATACAATATGTAGGACGTATGTTAGAGAGACTTTGTATAAAACAAGGTTACATACAGTCTATCTTATCCTCTTGGGAGGCATTAGGATGGAAGACGTTCAACACTCTGACGAAGTCACCGAAGTCAACTACTCCTTTCCTTTGAACATCGAACAAATCAAAGATTTGTGTACAGAAGGATTCGTAGTTATTAAGGGTATAACATAATATTTACGAGACACAAACTATCAAATTAAAAACAGATAAAGGAGAATATAGCTGAAGGTGTAGTGTCTTCAATGTACAACATCAGTAGCAACATATCCGATTAGCAAAAAGATTCTCTTTCTTCTTGTTTTTGAACAAAGCTAACTGAAATTCCTCCTGCAAACATACATTTATTATACTATGGTAAGGAAAAGCCATACATAGTCCCGAAATATTTCATATGCACATGATATACAGAAATTAAGGATGCAATCGAGAAGCTACAGTATAAGAATCAAAACCCAACTCCAATTATGCAAGATCAGACAAGTCAAACACTGGGACACATTCATTACCAATAATCTGGGTTCGCTCAGTTTCTGGTTGAAATTAAGGATCCAATATCTTTTAGTTACATCATGTTGCATATTTGATTTCGAGTAGAACGGTCTTGTTCAAGACCCTAAATTCAGACATGTTTGTCAGAATTTGGGGTTGAATCAAGATTTGTATAAGCTCATAGTCAACATCTAATTGACACTATCATAATGGCCTTAAAATCTTAGTGAATCTTTACTACACCTTAATCAGAATAAAAAAACCTTATAAAGTAGTAAAACCTTGCAAGGGATTTCAGCATACACATGCATATGAAACAGAAGTTTCACATGCCTCACAAAGCTGACACAAGCAATAAGGCAACAGAATATACTCAAAGCCGACAACCATATTGCAAAAATTTAATACAAGGTGAATTGACTTCAATCCATTCAATTCAATTATGTAAAAAGCAAAGAAATACTTAATTGTATCGTTTAACTACGCATTAACTTAAACTGAATTCAATTTCCAAAAATTCAAGATAATAAAAAATCAATCAAAGAAAGTAGCAAACCTATTAATGTCACTATTTGAGACAAAAGGGTAGCACTGAATCAAAGAAAATGCATGACCTTACAACTTGCAAAGCAAACATACCGTTCCTGGCCCTTATGTGCAAGGACCACCCACCAAAGCAATAATCCGAGCACTAGTTCCGGGTGAACAGGCTCCAAGTAACCCTGCAGCCACATTCAATGCCCGACCGATGCATTGCAATGCTCTACTACCAGGTGGAACAGGCCACTGGTCTGTTTGTAGTTCATCTAGTAACTAAAATTCACAGACACAGGAAAAAAAATTAGCACATTTCAAGCCCCACCCTAGACAATCAACCAAAAAGTCAAAAACTAATGGTGCTCACTTAATTAGGAGGAAAAAGAACATGTGCATAATGAAGTGGGGTTTACCCGAAACAAAGAAAATCAAAGCAAAATGCACGAAATTAACAACAGTACTTCAGATTTATGGAACTCTTACTTCATCAATCCAACACCATAACTCATAGCAACAACAAAGCGGAGTATCGAATAGCAATTTTACCGCCCACACATACACAAGTAGCAGGCCACAAATACACCACAGAAAGAAGAAACGATGCAGCAACAAAAACGCAGCAAAACAAGCAACATGCAGTAGCATCACCGAGCACACATCAGAGGCACCAGAAGACACAACAACAAACACAGCAACAAAAAATTACATCAAAAAAAAACTGTAACACCATTACCGCAGCAAGAACATACACAATAATCCAAGAAACACATCCCCCCACCCTCCCCCCCCCCCCCGAAACAATTAATCCCAACAGCGAAAACAAGCAAGCACAAGCACCACAACACACAAGCTCTACACAACACACACCGCAACCACCACACCCAGGGTCGCACCACGAAACCAGGAAACCCTTAATTTCTTCCAATGAACCTCAATTGGCAAAAATCACTCAAACATAAAACAAATTCACGAGTAAATCCATTAACTATTAATCCAATAACACATTAATAACACAACCAGATTCGACAACCCTAAAACAACAACAACAAAATCAACTTCATCAATCGCAACGAAGATCCAAATTCAGAACAAAAAAAAAAAAAAAAATAATCAAAACCAAAAGGAGGCGAAATCGAAGCAAACCAGGAGCAGCAGGTCGTTCAAGGCCGATTTCTTCAAGTACAAACCATAGTTAGACGAGCGTCGACTTCTTCATGAACAGCATCACCGATTCCTTCGCCCAAGAACAACGTTCAATCTAAGTCCTCATCTTCGTCTACTTCCCGATTCCTTTGTTGATTAGGGTTTAGGAGAGAGAGGTAGATGAGAGAGGAGGAGAGATCGAGGAAAGAGAAATTAAGAAAGAAGACAGAAAGAGAAATCAAAGAAAGAACAAAAAAAAGACCGGGTTTTTTTTTTACAATAGCTTTCGCACCGGTTTGGTTGGAACCGGTGCGAAAAGTCTTTTTCCCAATCCCGCCCATTTCTTTTAACATTGATTTTCAAAACCGGTTCAAAAACTGCGGTGCCTATTTCATTTTTCTACTAGTGCATCTTGTCTTTGTACCACAACCACATTGTCAGGAATGATGTGGTGAGAGCTCTTTGGGAGTCATGTGGACTGACTTCCGTACTACGTGTTGCTGAGGCTTTCCAGAATTTTCGGGAGAGTCGTTTCATTATTCGTGGTGCCCTAGAGTTCTTCTGGGATACCACGAACTCTTTTCATTTTCCAAGGGGTGAGATGACTATCACCCCACTCGACTCTTGAGTTATCAGCAGACTCGAGTTCTGCCCGACTCTAGTTCCCTTGAGTGAGTCACTGTCATTGACGTCTCTAGAGATGACAATTCTTGTAGGTCCTATTGTACGTAGGGCCTCTACTGACGCAAGGGAGAAAAACTCGAGTATGAGGTATGTTCGTACTCGGCTGCTAGCTTGCCCTTTCAACGATTATGCGACTACGTTGGAGCGGGTTTGCATTTTTGTTCTCATCCTCCTGTCGGGGACAATCTCTTTTGACAAGGGGAAGTGGTGCTTTGTTGCGCTACTTACCCGCCTTGCGTGATCATGCTCGGTTCGACACTTTTGACTAGGCGAATCTCGCCTATGCTGACCTTCTTCTGAGTCTAAAGCAAGGATGCCGCCAGCAGCACGGCGGAGTGGAGATCTCCGTTTGCGGACTATGGAAAGTCGTAGAGGTATATCTTCTTTCAATCTTATGATTTCAACTCAAGTCTCGATGTTTATCATTTCTCAGAGTTCTTTGACTTCTCACAAGTCTTGCTCTACGAGTACTTTCCCTCACTTGCTCTGAGGAGACTTAAGGCCAGAAGGCTCCCGATGGCTACCAGCTGGCAGGACCGCCTTGTTAGTCCAATTTCTTCTACAGGTGTTATTAGTGTGGCTATTCTTAAGGTGAAGATATTTCTTACTTCTTATTTCTCTAGGTTTCATCATAAGTATTAACACATCTCTCTCTTTTATTTCAGCGCCCTGACGTCCTCTACCTTCCATGGCTCGGCTTGTTGATTCTTGACGGGCTTCTCATATTACTAGTGAGAAGCGCGTCTTATGGGGTACCTTCCAGGCAGTGTGGTACCTAGGCGAGTGGGTGACCCGTTAGCACTTCTCTGACGTTCCTTCAGTTCCTTAAGGATCCGCCTTCTTTGATGATGAGCTAGGAGACTCTTAGGGTGTATGCCATAGATCAGGTTGTGGCTGCAAACTTCCGGGTGCATGTCTACCCCAATCACTCTTACGAGGAGGAGCTGCTACCTCGAATGGCTAGCTAGCCTTACTACGAGGAGGTTTATATATTATTATCACTCGTTTTGTCTTTTTTGTAACCCCGAGCGGTGCTAATTATTGGATCATCTTGCAGGAGGAGAGGGAGCCCGAGGTGTTTGAGCCCCACGCATGTACATTCGCTATTAGGTGTTTTATGACCCCATCTAGGAGATGATCCCTCCAGCTCCCGCGGAGTAGCAGTTGGTGGAGGCGATCCATCCCCCGGTTGACGAGATGGGTGAGTGTTCATCTTTTCTTTAATTTCTCGCACATATCACTTTGTTTATTGACTCTCTTAAAGCATAGTGCGGATGGCATCTGTTCATGACGCCTGTCGGTATTAGCTGGCGAGGTGGAGCCACAGGATGTCATGTCGGCGCACGGAGACATCGAGCCGGCACGTCTTTATGTATTTCTATCTATTTACGTATTTTGCTTTTTTATAACTAACTAGCATTTCTTTGACTTTATTTCAACCTGATCCTCGGTCGCGTACTCGTTAAAGGCTTAAGGGCTCCAGAGAGACGGGAGCGAGGCAACGCCGCACCTCGTTGGAGATTTCGGGCAGACATGAGGCAGCTGACCAGGGGGTGAGCGATGATGGTGACAGTCCAAGTCATGGATCTTCGTCGACCAAGGTGTTTCCACCGGGGTGGTACGACCTCACGTGGTTTCGGATTTTTCAAGACCGGTCCATCGTCTATGTTTGGTGGTGGGACATACGAGGTTGGCTCGTCATTGCAGTAGCCTGCACCTCATCCTTTTACTGGTGGGAGCTTTCACCAGTATGGCTCTCAGGGGGGTCCATAGTTCACTTAGTAGACTGGTCCCATGATCGTGATCCCCACGACAGGTGGCGCTGGTTCTACTCAGGTGGTGACTCCTCGGTTCGCACATTTTAATGATGTGATGGGTATTTCTCGGGAGCCTCGTCCGCCAACTTTGCTTTTCTATTAAACACTTTATCGACTTTTATTATTCAGACCATGTATATATTATGTACTTTCTATTTAGACATTATATTATGAAGTGTGTGAAAAAATTCCATCATTTTTATTATCATTGGAGGGTATCCGACTTTCTCCCAAAAAAGAAAATATGAAAATAGAAAATGAGGAAAAAATAAGTGTATAATCAATTAATTCGAAATTCCTAAAAAAGAAATTCAAAATCAAAGAGGATTAAATCGAAAAGGTTAAATTATCATAGGAAAAGGTGAATATTTTTTAGATAAGGTAGGAAAAATAATTAAAAAAACCAAATACGGAAAGTACGAATTCGAATAAAAATCAAAGCAAAGAATCAAGAAGGCGCTTTTTGTGTCGCAGACGCCATATTCCATCGCGGCGCAACAGGTTCATCCTGTCACGATGGTCCCATCGCGGCGCGATGGTTTAGGTGAATCTGACTCCGAATAAATTCAATTTCTGCTTCAATTTTGCTTATAAAAAAGCCTCCAAATTTGTCATATTCCAACATAATTCGAGTCATTAGCTTCTATATTCTTCCATTTACATAATTTAGCAATCATATTTAAGAGTTTTTATGAAATTGCTCTTGAGTGGTGTCGGTCTTTGACCACTAGTGAGAGAAAAGAGCTTGAATATCTCAACATGAATGGCCTATTGGATATTAAGGGTGTAGATTTCGATAGTGATTTTATTCATACTGTCGTAGAATATTGGGACCCCAACACTCACTGTTTTAGGGTAGGAAACGATGAAATTAGCCCCTTACCGGAAGAAGTTGGTGCCATTTTTGGCTTTCCCTCTTTGCATCTTGTCGTAATCCCCAAATTATGTGAATATATTATTATAAGGATTCTGAGCGTATTTATAATCTTAGGGAGACTGATCTAAAATCTATAGTTCATGGAAAAGAAGTAGATCTAAGAAAATTTGCATCTTTTTTCTTTAACAGACCTAAGTCTATTTCTTTTCACACATATAGAAGAAGAGCTTTTCTATTCTGCATGTTAGTCAATTCTTTCTCACTAATGGTACTAGCCATACTGGTCAAGCTATACTAGCATTAGTTATGGAGCAAACTGATGCGGGAAAAAATCCTATGCCTTTAATTGTTGGAGAAACAATGATTAGTTTAGATGAATTGAAAAAGGATCCGAAATCACCAATTCGAGGATCTCTTATATTATTACAAGTAGAAAATCAATACTTTTAAACTCAAAAATATTTAATTTTGTAATGTAATAACAATTAATTTTCATGCTTGCAGATCTGGCTAATGGAGAGACTAGGATTAATCAGTCCTCCGAATGATGTTGAAAAATACACCCCTAATTTCCTTGTGAGAAGGAAGAAACGCTTTTCCGTAATGATGGGACGTCGGGTGTGGAGCAAAATATTTGAAACTCGTGAATTCTCCATCAAGTGGGTTGTACCCTGGTGGAAAATTGAGAAGATGAATGGAGTCAATATTCAAGCTTTCTGTCGCATCCCAAGCTTATCAAAGTCCACTATTTACTTTCCTTCTAGAGTGATGATGCAGTATGGACTTGCTCAAACTATCCCTTCTGGCGATGACCGTCGTCCTCGTGAGTACTCTGTATCAAAGAATGTTAAGAGGTTCGACGATTATTGGTACAGTAGACCATTATGGACTGTTGTATCTGATAGAGTTCCTCCTCCATTGTCTCGAGAATATAAACAATGGCTACTTGCTCGAAATCAATAGGATAAGAACAAGGCCCGAAATTCAAGCTCTAAGGGTGCAGAGAAGGGCAACATAAAAGACTGCCTAGGGGACAAGAAGGCTCCTCCTAAATATTGTTTGGGTTCAAGAGTTGAAATCAAGACTCCTATCATGCCTAAGAAAAAGGATGTCATGGAGGGCAAAGGAAAAAGGAAGGCTACTTCTATAGGCTTGGGTTGAGAAAAAGGTAGGGGTCTTTGCTAAAGGGGAAACTTCTTCCTCTAAGGTTTCAGTTCGCACATCTAAGGGCTCACTTTTGGTAAAGGAATTATCAGACGATGAAGACGCAGATAAGAACTGGAAAAGAGCTCGAAAAGAAAAGGAGGATTAGATTTAGAATATTGCATTGCCTTTAATTTTATTAGACAAATTTCAATTAAAAGTTAATTTTATTTTAAAGCTTTAAGTCATCAATAATGTAATTTTAATTTTAATTATCAATGCAATTTTTTAGCTTTCATTTAAATTAACTTTATCCATAATATAATTTTTGTTAAATAAATTCCCAAGTAATGGAAACAATTTGAATAATTTCAAAATAATCCGAGTACGGAAGTCGGAAAAAATTTGAAATAATTCAAACCCAAAAATATCAAATAATCGCAGTTTTAATCGTCGAAAATTACAATTCCATCGTGGCGCGATGGTCCTATCGTGGCGCACTAGAACTTGATTTGCTGCGATACTAAAGCTTCGACTCAATTTTGTAATTTTGCTTCGATTTATTACGTTCAAAGGCAGAGTTTTAAAATTTTAAAGTGGTCGCACCCTACGAAAGGGTTGCCTACGTATCCTTATCAAGGAATCAGGCTAAACGTAGCTCTCTTGAGTTCGGAACTCATTGGATCATGGGTAGAACTTCTTCAGTTGGTCAATGTTTGTCATATTTGAAAAGTCATTGTCGTCCATATTTGTCAATTTAGCTGCACCTTGAGATAGGATGGTTTTAATGATGTATGGTCCAAACCAATTAGGCCTAAACTTTCCCCTTAGATCTAGAACATTATTTCTAAGAGCTTTTAACACCAAGTCTCCTTCCTTGATGTTTCTTGTCTTGACTTTTTTGTTGAAGTGTCTAGCCATGCGATTTTAGTAGCATTGACCATGATATAAGGCTTCTAGTCACTTTTCATCGAGTAGAATTAGCTCTTTGTATCGTGCTCTTGTCCATTCAACCTCATCAAGTTTACTTTCCAATGTTATGCGCATGGAAGGTATTTCTAACTCTACAGGTTGTACGGTGTCCATTCCATAGACTAGAGAGAATGGCCTAGTTCATGTGGATGAGCAGATTGACGTGCAATAACCCCAAAAGGCAAAATGAAGTTTGTCAGGCCAATCTTTGTAATTCTTAGTCATCTTTTTGATGATTATCTTTAAATTCTTATTTGCCGCCTCAACTGCACATTTGCTTGAGGTCTATATGGAGAAAAGTGATGATGTTGAATACCATACTTTTTTAAGTAGGTCTTCACACTCCGCTTGAAAGTGAGTACCATTGTCACTAATCATTTCATGTGGGACTCCATATCGACATATGATATTTCTTTCGATGAAGAGTTCCACATGCTTTATGGTGAGTTTTGCGTAGGATGTCGCTTCAACCCATTTGGTGAAATAATCGATGGCAAGCAACAAGTATGTACTCATGGCCTCCTAATCCGAGTGGGGTAATCTCTCCAAGGATATCTATTCCCCAAGTTGAGAATGGCCAAGGAGATGTGTAAGTGTAAAGAAGAGATGGTAGAACGTGTTGCAAATTGGCATATATCTGGCATTTTTCACACCTTTTTACATATTGATGGCAATCTCTTTCCATGTTAGTCCAATAATAGCCTTGGCGCATGACCTTTTTGACTAGCATTTTACCATTCATGTGTGTTCCTTATAGCTCCTTTGTGTATAATTCTCATTGCCTTTTGAGCCTCCTTTTTGCCTATGCACAGGAGAGCTCTACCTTTAGGTATTCTTTTATGAAGTTCACCATATATAAGTACGAAATGTGAGGCTAAGAGCCTCAAAGCGCATTTCGCTCTTTTGTCAGCATTAGGTGGATATTCCCTTTTAGTGACATAATTGAGGATGTCTGATGCATTTATGCCACGATTAAGAGCTTATTTTGACGATTTCTCACCATACTTGTAGCTTGTTTGGATCCTCATTTCTATCTTTGACTCTCTTTTCTTTTATTCATCTTCTTTCTTAGTTTGATCCCTCCTTTGTTTATTTCTCTACCTTGGTGTCCTTGTTCATGTTTTATAGGAACCATTATGTTCAATAAGGAGAAAATTGTGGCCAAAGATGTGCTATGCAACCTTGGAGAGAGCGCGCAAAAGTTGGATGCGCGGGCGCGCAGCCCTGTGAGAAGGCGCACAGAAAAGAAAGGAGAAAAGCACAAACAGGAAGTTTTGCACGCCTGCTGCGCGACCTAAGAGAGGGCGCACTTCCATACTGCGCGGGCGCACATCCCTGTCTGCGGCCACGCATAGGGAATAAAGAGAAAAACAGAGGCAAGGCAGAGAGTTTGTATGGGGAGCTCTGCGGCTATAGAGAAGGCGCACACATCAACTGCGCGGGCGCACAAGAATGTTGTGCGGGCACGCTTTTCTGGGTTTCATTTTCCATACCCAAAAAGTTACGGGCACGCAATTGCTGGAGATGGCGTGCAGGCAAGGCGTGCGGTCGTGCACCGTTGGATTTCAGTTTGTTAAACCGCGTTGTTACGGGCACACAAGGGCTAGAGAGGGCACGCAGCTAGTCGGCTTCTTCTTTTTAAACATTCCTATAAATAGCTTGTATTTTCCTTTTTGATCAATGAGGATTAGATTAGCTTAATTTTCTGGTTTGATTAGCTTAATCTAGAGAGAGAAACCGCTCTTAGCTTCCTTTATAGAAAGAGAAAGTGAGATTTTCACCGTTGTTGATGCTTGGATCTTGAAGAGGAAGATTATCTTACTTGTAGACATTCATCTTCAATCAATGAGCATTCTCTTACTCTTTTCTCTTTACTTTTTTTTATTGATTTTGCTTTTGTTTCATTAATTACTTGATAGTCATGCTTTTGCTTGTTTATTTGATAATTAGCTTGTTAATTGCCATGATTAGTGAGTGATCTCTCTTACTAAGGGTGTGGGGATGATGTAGTTGAAGTTTGATCATGTTTTAGAACTTGAATTTGGTTTAATTGTGATTAAAGTCTTTGTGTGTTTGATGTACTTCAATTTTCTTGAAAAGTGCACGTTGTTTGTAAATTGAGGGTGAATTGATGCTTGATGATGCGATAACGGACCTTGCTAGATTCATTGTTATCGATTTATACTTGATTGCACCTTCTAATATATGGTTCTAATGCGATAGCATAAAGGCTATTTTAGGTGAAACCAATTGACCCCAATAGGTGGCTAGATTGGACCTTACACGATATTCAAGCATGCTTAGTTTGCAATCAATTCAATTATGTGATTATGTTTCTTCAAATGGATCCTACATCTACCCATTCCCCTTAGTGCTTTAATTGCATTGCTTCTAGTTCAGTTCGTTCTTTGTTTTAGTATCTTTACACAACTTTGTCCCCTTTCCGAGATAGCTTAATTGTTGGTAGTGAACGTGGTGTTTAGCTTCTCCCTAGGATCGACCCTTGACTTACCACTAGACTTGTGTTTAGTGCTTAGGTTTAGGTTTATAAATTTTGTGTTTGATTAGAGGTGTTTTAGTTTCAACAACCTAAAATACCCATGATCAATGTTCGTGTACTATGGTTCTTCTTCGTCCTCTTAAACTTCTTCTTCATCCTCAAGAGCTTGAACATAGGCGGGTTCATGCTTTTTTTATATGGTTAGAGGCATTTTCTCAAATTCCTTAGGAATCCTAACCATTGAGGCTAGTCTTCCTAAGGCATCAGTTAGTTGACTTTCTTCTCTTGGTAGGTACGTGTATTCTTCCTTTTCGAGTTGATCTGTGAAAGTTTTCAAGTAAGTTTGGTATGGAGATAGACTTTCACTCCTCACCTTCCATCTCATGGAAATCTGGTTGATGATAAGAGATGAGTCCCCAAATATTCGAAGCATTTTTACTCCAAGTGTTAATGCTGTTTGGAGGCCTGCCACACATGCTTCATATTCTACGACTTTATTGGTAACGTCGAAGTCAAGCTTTATTTAAATTGGGATGTGCACTTCATTAGGCGATACTAATAAGACTCCCACACCACATCCATTTTGATTGGATGCACCATCAAAATATAGTACCCAAGTGTCGTCCTCGGTGACTTGTAATTCTTCATCTGGGAACTCATTCTC